CTCGCCGTAATGCTCGAAAAGCCGTAGCCCTCCCTACACCGAATTTTGTAGCAATAGATCTGAAATATATAAAAAATAAAATTTAAATATAAAAATAAAATAAAAAAAAAAATATTCTTAAGCTCTCAATTGCCCGACATTATATATTGCTATTTATTTATTTGTTAATTTTTCGAGAGCTCAATTGTATTTAATTTAAAAAAAATATCTTAATATTTTTTAAATATTTAAAATATTTAAAAATAAATATTTAATATTAATAAAAATAAAATTTGTATGTAATATACCTGTACGAATCAGGCGTTGCCATAAACCAAATGGCGATAAGCAATTGCTTCTCCTCCGATATTGGCTTTCTATTACAAAGATTATTATTAATGGCACGTAATCCAGGCCCAATTATTATCAGTACCATTTCAAATGTTTGAGGAAACATTCTAAAAAAAGTTTAACGTATAAAACAATATGCATTAAAACAATATTCAATAATTTTAATTATTTACAGCTGTCATATTTCTAGGTTATGGTAATATTATTTAATGAAAAATTTCGTCCTATTTCTTAATTTATTCAATTATTACTCACCGAAAATGTTCTTTGAATACTGTTTTTGAATAGCCGGGAATAACTCTTTCGACATAATCGCTTAATTTTTCTGAAATGATCATTTCTCCCCGCGTAGTATCAAGCATTAAAATAAAATATAATATTTCTAATTCTTCATTTAAACACAACTCTTCATTTTCATTATCGCTATCAGACTCATCACTGCTGTTAGAAATGTTTTCAATCTCTTCATCATTATTTAAAATGATTGAAATTATTACACTCCCGATTTTGTTATCCATGTTTTTATATTTCACAGCGTACCATCAATCTGCATCAAACGCATTCAATAGTTCCGTTTCTGAACGCGCATACTGCGCATTAACGAAACGGAACGCTATCTATGCGCGCAGCGCATTGTCTGTTGTCTATGCACTCGATGCGAGAAACGGAACGGACCCTAACTCTCAAGGCAACGCAACAATGTCTGCCTTCTTCTCAGCATGAACGCGCCAACCGGATACACCTACCGCCTGATTCTCTATCTTTTGCAGCGCCATCCGTCACGCGCTCAGAGAGCCGCCTAGCGCCACGCTCGCACCACGCTCGCGCCACGCCCGCGCATTACCAACGCAAGAACGCGCGAACTTTTCTAGTTCCCACAGTAGTATGGTAAAAATTAAGACCTTCCCGAACGCGAGGATGAACATCTTTTATTTTCCTTTTCTCATCTCCTCTTATTTTTAATGAAATTAAAATCTATCAAAAATTATGATATATAAAGTTATAATGTATATTTTAAACCAATTTAAAATTTAGAATATGTTGTCAATGGAGGAGCAGAAATAGAAGTTTGCTCAGCGGAGGAGAGGAGGAGGAGGCAAGTTCTTTTTCCAAATAATACTTAAAATAATACCGCGACGCATTTTGAGGACAACGCATTTTGGGGAGGAGGAGGAAGAGGAAGAGGAAGAGGACATCGAAGAAGATATCCCCCTTGCCGAGAATATTAATGAGGATGTCCTTGAAAAAGAAGAGACGGTGGTGGTGGAGGAGGAGGAGGGGGAGGAGACAAACAGCAGAGAAAAAGGTAGAAAACTATTCTGGAAGTAAGTAAAACTATCCTCGCGCTTCTATTCTAAGTTCACTCTTGTATTCTCTCATTGTTTTATTTTTTTTATTATTAAAAACCTAAAAATACTAAACCACCTCGCCAGAAGCCTAAATCTCTATTCTATCCCATTCAATTACATTCAACTACATTCAATTATAAGTATCCGAGGGACTGTATGTAGACTAAGAGTACGCGAGGAGGAGAAGGAGGACGCGGAACAGAAGGAGGAAGAGGAGGAGGTAAGTCCTTTGTCATATTAAATAATACATGACACTCCCTCGGAACATTTATTCTTTTACAGTACCTTCATGCCTACTAAAGGCGGACGTAGACAACAAGAAAAGAGATTGAGGTTTCGAATCAAATCCGCTCTTAATTCGAACAAAGATCCTCTCCCCTACTTCCAGAAATTAGCGCAACTTTTAAATAAAGATAAACCGATAGATTCGCCTCGCGAAAACATATATTCACTCCAATCGTTGGAGATCGATTTTTCGTTTCCTAACTATAAAGATATCCAAAAGGGCGATCCCCGCAGACTCGCCTATAAGCTGCGAAATCTTTTCGGCACCGGATTCGAGATCTTCCCTCCAAATAACTATCCGACGTTTCCTACCGAACATCATTAACTGCACGGCTTGATCTCCGATCCCCGGGTAAATTGCTTTAATGCATTGACCTTAAAACGGAAAAACCCTCGATTGCGACGTAACAAAATTTGGATACGCTCTGTCAGGCTGTGCGAAAAAATCGCAAGTGATTAAGGTGTGTAAAAGTTTTATCTATGAGCAAAGTAGTACATACCCTTCAAGGAAAAAAACCCGGTGCGGGCAATACCACCATGGCAACTGAACTCGATATCGTCGAATTACAACAAAGACTACAACAACAAGAACATGTTATTCGTCAACTACAAGAACAGCAGCAACATTTGGAACAATCACAAGGTACTCCAATTACAACAGGATTTAATGATCTTAATTACGGAAATTTTGTTTATTTTTCAATCAGAGACGTCTATTTTTCAATTAGAAGCTGTATCTAGTTTTGACGGAGATAATATTGCGTTTACTCATTTCGTGGAAGGATGTGAAGAAGTGCTCAGCATGATTGCGCCTTCACAGGAAATTATCTTAGTGCGCGCGATACGTAACAAATTAAAGAGTGATGCTCATAGATCCATACTCGGGAGAGTATTTAACTCTTTACAGAGTTTAGTCGAATTTTTACGTAGCAAATATGGTCCTAGAGAAACGGTTTACGAAGCGCAAGCTCGACTCGCTTACATATGTCAAAAGAAAAATGAAAAGGTATCAAGTTATGCGAATCGTGTCCGCGAAATAGGAAAGCGTATAATAGACGCCCAAAAACGGCAATCGAACGAAATTAGTCAAGATTTTAAGAAATCTGTGGAAAATCTTATTTAAAGGTGTGTTTCCTACGTGGTTTGAATCCGGAAATAATAATATCAAAAGAAGGAACCTTCGAGGAACTAGAGAGCCGCGCAATAGACGCCGAAAGAGAACTCGAGACTGTGAAAACGATAAGACAAATAGTACTTGGAGAAAAAACGTCTAGCGATAGCAAACACGCACATAGTGCGCCTGTGCGTCGGGTAGGTGCCGAAGC